ACAGATTTCTTTCCTGAAGCACAGCAAGACATTGCCCATCTCTTTTTTATTCCCCTCTGGATATATGATATTTTTTTGTCACAACCGATGATCTAAATCAGTAAAATTCCCAGACCTTAGAAGGTAAGTCAAGCAAGCTGATTATTCTGGGAAGCTCCTCATGGCACTGCATCAAACACCCCAACTCACTTTCCTGAAGAAACATAGTGAGAAGTTTTCCCCCCTCCACATAGGCTGTGTTTGAGCTCGATCTACCTAAAGGTTTTGGGAGCGGCGGTGAATGTGGGCGCGCTCAGGGCAAGGCCCATCTCTGGCCTTTCTGCCTCCCCCTCTCGCTGCCCTTTGCTGCAGGTGCTGTACAGGTGGAACAGGCAGAGCAGCACGTCTGTCATCGAGACCAACAGCACCTCGGTGGAGCTGTCCCTGCCTCTGGACGAGGACTACATCATCCAGATCAAGCCCTTCAGCGACGGGGGCGACGGCAGCAGCAGCGAGCAGATCCGCATCCCCAAGATCTCCAGTAAGGGAGGGAGGGGGAGGAGGCAGGGTCCCTGCCCGCCCCCGGGGCTGCCCAGCCTTGGGGAACCCCCTCCCAGACCCGGGGACCCCCCTGTCCCAGCCCCTCTGTCTCCTCCTCACCCGCTGGCAGGGCAGGGGCTTCACCCCACTCAGAGGCTGGGGGCAAACCCAGGCCTGGAAGCTGAGCAGGGTGGGCTGTAGGTCTGGCTGTCTGGGCAGGGGCCTGAAACCCAGGGTTAAAGTCAGAGAGTCATAGAATTCTTTAGGTTGGAAGAGACCTTTAAGGTCGTCAAGTCCAACCTAACACTGCCAAGTCCACATGTCCCTCAGCACCACATCTCCACAGCTTGGAAACCCCTCCAGGGGTGGGGACTCCACCACTGCCCTGGGCAGCCTGGCACAGCCCTGGGCAACCCTCAAGGGGAAGAAATTGTTCCTCAGGGACAACCTCAACCTCCCTTGTTGCTACTTGAGGCTGTTTCCTGTTGTCCTGTTGCTTGTTCCTTGGGAGCAGAGCCCGACCCCCCCTGGCTCCAGGCTCCTGTCAGGAGCTGTGCAGAGCCAGAAGGTCTCCCCTGAGCCTCCTTTGCTCCAGGCTCAGCACCCCCAGCTCCCTCAGCTGCTCCTCCCCACACTTGGGCTCTAGACCCTTCCCCAGCAGCTTCATTGCCCTTCTCTAGCCACACTCCAGCCCCTCAAGGTCCTTTTTTTTTGGAGTTTGGGACCCAAAAGTGACCCCAGGATTCAAGGTGCAGCCTCCTCAGTGCTGAGCCTACAGGGACAATCCCTGCCTGGTCCTGCTGGCCACGCTGGTGCTGGTCCAAGCCTCACCCAGGACCAGCAGTCATTCCAGCCCACATTTCTGGTTTCATCCTGAGTTAGGATTAAACCATGAGAAAGGCCATTGTAAGTAGTTATATTTGTATTTAAGATTTCTGGACACTTTCCTCTCTCTTGCTTCCATATTCGTATATATGTTGAATATATTGTTCTACTGCAATTCACTGTAGCAAAATACAAAATGTGGTGTTCAGAGGCTTTTAAATTTACAAGGCTACTGTATAGCCATACTCCATTGTGTGTTGGGTGCATAAATATTTATTTAGGGAAATAAGGTTGTGCAGAAGAACAAGCAGGAAGCAGAGTATTTTATTACCCAACATTGCTTTTCCACAATCTCCCTGGCCCATCTTCCATTAATAATGCCACAGTTTATAAGCTGCATTAAATCAGGAGCCTCTGCAATGCAGGAACGTGGCATTAAACTCACAGCAAGGTACAAAACCCTGGAATTATCTCCAGCATGGCTGTGCACGGAGGCTGCATGAGCCACACAGAGGAATTTAATCAGCAGGAGAGGGGAGGAGAGCAGGAACACATCCCAGCTCCTGTTGGGCCACACAGCTCCTCCAGGACCTGGGTCCTGCCAGGCTGGTGTGGTAAGAAACAGCTTGAATACAGTACAACTGCTGGAAAAAATAAAATAATAAGTGAAGAGGCCATGAAGTAATTTAATTGTGGCAGTGGCCTCGATGCAACAGCAGCAGGGATTGGAGGTAAACCAAAAATTGAGTTAGAGAGGGGAAACCCAGGAAACAGGAGGGTATTGAAGGAGAAGGAGGTGACTGCCCAGGAGGTCAGAGGCTCACACAGAGTGGTGGGGTGGGAAGGGACCTCCAGAGGTCATCTCATCCAGCCCCCTGCTCCAGCAGCTCACCCACAGCAGGGTGCCCAGGGTCACATCCAGGCAGGTTTGGGATCTTTCCAGAGCAGGAGACTCCACAGCCTCTCTGGGCAGCTGCTCCAGGTTCTGCCACCCTCACCCCAAAGACATTTTTTCCTCCTGTTCAGATGGAACCTCCTGGGTTCTTTGTGTCTGTTGCTCCTTGTCCTTGGGCAACACTTACAAGAGTCTGGCCCCAGCCTCTTGCCCCCCACCCCTTAGCTCTTGCTCAGACTTGATCAGTTTTTTTTTCCCCAGGCGGAACAGCCCAAGGGCTCTCAGCCTGTCCTGGCACAGAGATGCTCCAGCCCCTCAGCATCTTGAGAGCCTCCACTGGACCCTCTCCAGTAGCTCCTTGTCTCTCAAACTGGGAAGCTCAACACTGGCCACCACACTCCAGAGGTGGCCTCATTAGGGCAGAGCAGAGCGGGAGGACAACCTCCCTGGGCCTGCTGAGCACAGTCACCCTCACACACCCCAGGAGACCACTCACGATGCTCCTCTCCACCCAACCCTCTCAACCCTTCCGGGGAGCCGCATCCCCTCCGGCCACCACCGCCCTTCCACGGGGGAAGCAGGAGGAGAATCCAGGGGAGGTTTGGGCTGGGGGAGGGGGTTCCCTCCAGCCGTGGCTCACCCTCTCCCCTCTCTCCTCTGCCCAGATGCCTACGCCAGGGGATCTGGCTCATCCACCTCCAGCGCCTGCACGCTCTCGGCCATCAGCACGATAATGATCTCGCTCACAGCTCGCTCCAGTTTATGACAACAGTTCCACAGAGAGGACTTCTTGTTGATAACCTAAGCAACATTTAGCTAGTTGTTTTTGAAGACACCCAGTACTAAGTAATATTGTGGTTTGAGTACATCTTACTACTGGAAAAAAAAATGTTTATGCTTCTTTAGGAATGGCATTATACAGTACTTCCTCAAAGCAAATATAGCTTTGTCTGAAGTTTCCTTGGAAACTCTGCAATGCACTGAAAACATCTGTAATATGATGTTACCAAAGCAGTTTACATATGTCCTTATATGCATATTTTTTATTATATATTTAGTGTTTTATAGAATTTTTTAAAGTTAACATATGATGTAGATATTGATTTTTTTTTTCCTCTGCTATAAAATGCTCCGGGCGACATCCTCATGAAAATATCGTTTGGGATTTTTTCCTTTCTGATGGGAGAGTTTGAAGTTGTTCTTGGGAAAGGGGCTGGAGCTTCACCCTGCTGCACGAGGCTGAGCTGCTCCAGATGGGGTTCGTGAGGCGGCTGTATTTAAACAGCACTTGTGGTGGTTCCTGGCTGAAGTGCTTCTAACACACCAGATGTTATAGTTTATTTGAAGGTTTAAGGGAGACAAATTGGAAATGCTCAGGATGCTGTCACCTTGGAAAAAAAATAGATGAATTTGGGGTGTTCGTGGACTACAGGATGTGTAGCTGATATTCTGCAGCAAGGTTCCATTTTTACTGGCTTGAAACAGCTTTGTCTTTATCATAATTAGCATCAAATTGGGTAGGAATGAAGACGCTGCCAAGATGCCACCTCTGCCTCTAGTGACACAAAGGGACGGGTACCCAGAGGCCCCTTTGGGTGCAAACCCAGCTAAACCCACCTCCTTTGGGGGGGATTTTGTGGCAAGGAAATGAGAATACAGCGACTCTGAGACGTGAAGCTGCCCTGGGCTCGTGATCCACCCCCATGGAACATCCCTCAGCATCCTTGGGAACTCCACTGCATCGGAGCCGCAAGGGAGACCCGGTGGGACCCACGGGGCTCAGAGGAGCTGATGCCCTCAGGAGGTGGCATCTCCCAGGGGTTCTGTGCTGGCTTCTCTAGAAACTCTCCCTAGGCACCTGAAGGCAAAACCAGTCAGAAAACGACACTATCCACAGCAACATAATTCTTCTCAAGAGAAGGACCGTTTGTTACTACAGGATAATTTTGTAAGTTCACTCGGATGGGATAACGCTGGCAAAAGGCAAGGGAATTTTCTATAAAATTTTCAAGTTGAAAGGCGCTCCAGTGGTTTATTCTTCTTCTTTTCTTTTTCCTTCCTGATAGCTTGAATTTGCCTGTAACTCGTCTTTTTTGCTTACGAAAATAATACAGTTAACTTTTAGACCTAAATATATTTATTCAGTAACTCATAATCAGGATTCCACTTGTGTAAAAGTCAGGGGTGTTGACCAGAGAAATATTGTCAGTATTTCAAGCTGTGTTCCTTTCTTAGTTTGATATGGTTACTTCTATGTAAAAAAAAAAGGAAAGAAAAAAAAATAAAAAAGGCACAAAACCAAGAAAAATGGAACAAAAAAAAAGAGCTTCTGTAGTTTTCTCCCTGGTGTAAATGATATTTATCGGTGACCTAGCAGATGTAATCTTTTTTTAAAGGTATTGGTAATAAATATTCTGTCATTTGTAAAGATACCTGTTTTCCAGGAGCATTTTTCCTCCACGTTTTGTTCCAGCCAGTGACAAATTTCACCACGGCCCCTGCTGGGATTGTCACTGACGCGAAGGTGCAAAAGAGGAGCTGGCTGAAGTCAAAACTTTGTGGAGGCAGAGAAAGACAAAACAAACCACAACTAGTCATGCATCTCTAGTGTAATTCTGCTTCCAAAATTGACAATAAAACCCCAAAATTCTGTTTGGGGTGATTGTGGGCAGCAGCAGCTCCACGCGCGAGCTGTGGGCGGCACAACGGAGCTGAGCGAACCACCAGGTACAGCCACCTCCCCTGCTTCTCCTTGGGGGTTTCTGAGCACTTGGGGGAGCACTGCTTAGAACTGTTAAAATCCACCCAACCTGCTTTTTCTACTTGTGATTTTTCAGGAGCAGCAGCACGGGACCCCAGGGGAAGGTGCTCTGAGGTTTGGAGGCTGCGCTTGGCAACCGGCGAAGCCCAAAACCAAACGCAGCACCCGGTAACACGGCTCAGTTCTTACAAAGCCAGTTGAAAATTGGGCATCTCCAGAGGGGCTGGGAAAAAAAGAGCTTGGGGGAGAGCCACAGCAGGAGGTTTGTAGCTGGATTGAAAGAAAAAAGAAGCTGAATAACTATTTCTTTGTGCTCCAGGCACAAAACTTGTAAGTGATGGAGGAGTTTGGGGATGGAAACGCCGGTGGTGTGGGCTGATGTAAGTGGCAGAAGGTGACAGGCAGCCCGAGTATGGCCAGCAAGAACCACCTCTGATATCTTGCCATTAATGGGAAGGAACTTATATTTAGAAATCTTATTTATTACATCACTCAAAAGCAGGAGATAAAATGCATTACAGTAAATAAAATCTCTTTAGTCTTACTTGGGTTTTACTAATGAAATTCTGGGTTTAGACTGTTAAAGCTGGGCACCTCAAATCCCTTAAAATCACATGCAGGAGAGACATTTGAGGCTCAAACATTGTTTTATTAACTTGAATTTCAGTGGGGTCATGCTGCTTCACCCAGCAGAGAACTGGCACATTTATTAGAGTTACTTTTAGCCTGTAGCACCTGGCAACTCCATTACGTTCTGTACTTTCCAAATAATCTACTCACTGGGTCAAATCTTTCTTTTTATTCTTTGTTCATGTGCTTAGCCCCAGCTCTGGCCAGCTCGACCAAGAGGTTTCTTGGAAGTAGAAGGGACTCTGCAAGAGCAGGAGAACTTCATGGTCCCCAGCCAGAGAGTTCAAAGCCCACGTCTTCAAGTGGTTTCAGGCAGGAGGTTTATTTGGTAATCGCTCAGCAGGTTACACAATGTAAGTAAACAAATCCCAAACAGAACCCAACCCTGTCCCCAGCCCAGATCATTTAAGACAGAACGACAGAGAGTGAAGAAAAACAGGCTGCAGCACTAGGCTTGGATTTTCAGAACTACCTGAAGGCAGCTGAAGCTGCACAGGAAGGAGCCCAGCTCCTTGCAGCTCAGGAAGCCTCTGGAGAGCACCAGGAGCTCCTTGGCACGTGAATTCCTCTGCAGCTGAGAACTGCATTCCCAGGCTGTGCTTTGCTTTCTAGGTGGAACTGAGGAAGTTTAACAGTTTGGGTCATTTTTCTCTCCCCCTCCTCACCCCAAAGCTTCACTGTGTTGTGCCAGGGAGCACAAACCCTCCCCTTCTGTCCTTTTGCAGATGCTGCCAGATGATGTCAAAGGCCAGAGCCTGCAGAGGAGCCTTGGATTGAAAATGAGCCAAGTGCCCATCTTCCCCCAGCCCTGATGAGCACCCGGGTGGGCAGCAGGCTGCTCCTCCCTCACCCACCCACCCATCCCAGCAGCGTTCCCTCGTTCAGGAGGGAGCTTGAGGAACAGGAGTGAAGCTCTGGTTCCATGCTGAACCCACCTCAGCACCCACCTTGCACCTCAGCCACTGATCCCCTCAGGCATCGGCCATCGCAGCCCCACCAGGTCCTGTGTCAGCCCCAGGGAAAACACCCTGCTGAAGCCACCAGCTTTATTCTGCTCACTGGATGAATCTTACAAGGAGGAAGAAGAGAACCTGAAGAAAAGCCAGACTCCCCCAGAGCAGGAGAGGAGCAGCCAGCGGGCACAGGTCTGTGGGACCCTCCGGAGCCGGTGCTGTGCTGGCTCTGGCTCTGGCTCTCTGCTTGCCAGTGGCTGGTGAGTGAGAGGCTCTGTCAGTTTTCTGCAGTGTTTCCTAGCTGTTGCCCAGTGCAGATTGCAGTTCCCAGGCTGTGAACTGACCCGTGCAATTCCCAGGCCACCTCCAAAACCTGCCAGGCACGTGAGCCTGGAGATTTCGGGTGCTGTGCCTGGGGCAGGAGGTGCAGCTGTGTGCACACAAACAAGGCTGTGGGCTACCTGTGAGTACAGAAGCAGCATGGCAAGGTGCTAGCTGCATGCACAAAAGTAATGAGGCTCTGGTTGTACGTTGGCTGTGCAAGCAAACTAACTGTGTCTCAAAAAACCTCTTTGGTGTGAGGGTGGCCGAGCCTGGAGCAGCTGCCCAGAGAGGCTGTGGAGTCTCCTGCTCTGGAGAGATCCCAACCCCACCTGGATGTGATCTTGGACAACCTGTCCTGGGTGTTCTGCTGGAGCAGGGGGCTTGGATAAGACAATCTCCAGAGGTCCTTTCCAACCTCCACCATGCTGGGTTTCTGTGAAACAGCCTTTAAAATCTAGAGGCTTCAGGGGTTTATAAAGTCCTTCAGCCAAGACAGCCTTTACCCACCTCCAAAACTGGTGCTCTGTTTACTTAAAAAGGCAGCTGCAGGTACCTTACCCAGCACAGGAGGCCCAGCAGGTCCAGGCAGTGCCCAGGGCTGGCTGCACAGCTCATGGCACAGACAGTCCCTGTATGAGTGAGCTGCATTTCCCTGGGGGTTATTCAGGTGATGGGCTGGCTTCACACCTTTTCATTGCAAAGGGTGCTGGTGAGGCCAAGTGTGGGTCCCCACTCATGATGCTGCTGGGCAGCACCAGGGGGGACAGCTCTGGGGTGCTCTGCAGCTCGTTTTCCTCCCTGCCTGGTGTCTGCCTGCCCTTGGGCAGTGCCAGGGACCAGGGCTGGGCACTTCACTGCCGAGAGCTGCGCCAAGTCCCAGTCTGCATTTTGCACCTTGAGTTGTCAGAGGTACTTAAAAATCCAAAAGATTGAGCTGTCAACCAGGAGGGGGGGGAAAAAAAAAGCCATTAGCTCTTTTCCAGAACTTTTTGACACAGCCCTTGGGCAGCATCCTTC